TATAAATGACTGTGTCTTTCGGGGGGGGCAGCAGGTCGATCTGTTCAGCAGCTTTTTCTCCACACATAATAGTGTGGGGCTTACCTGCTTTAGCAATCCGCAGGCGTGCATTTTTCCACGTTTCCGTTTTTATTTCAGTGTGTATTTTAAGTATTTATTTCATGCGCATGGGAGAGAAACACAGAGACGCTCGGTGTATTTTTCTCAAATTAACTTAGAACAGTTCTTAAATATTTTTCTGTTATTTTTCACACTTTCCTGTGCTAACAAGATTACCAGCGTTCGAAACACGCATTTCTATGCATTCCTGTGTTTACAACGTTGGCATTGTTCCAAAATCACGCACATTCTCCTTTCTCCCTATTTGCTGGAGATACAGTAGCTTTTTTTAAATACAATTGGTCACTTGCGTCCGTAGCACGCATTCCCTATAGAGTGGTATAGAATTATAGAGTATCTCTTGTGTCCACTGAAGTATTAGCGCGCACTGTATCGTAGTACGTAGGCTGCGTATTCAACACTTATAAAAATACAAAATATGAAAACCCGTCCCAGTTCTTTCAGCGCACACAACACAGTTCCAGGGTCATTTGGCGTACCACCTGGCGGCACACCACGTACCACTGGTACGCGTACCACAGTTTGAGAACCACTGCACTAAAGGATACAAAACACAAACAGCTCCCATCGTAAGCAGTTGCCTGTAGGGAGCCACTCATATTCTTGAATTTTCGTGGTTGTTTTAGTATTTATGCATTTTACAGAGTTTTTTTTTACATTGTTTGCATTTTAGTCTATTTTTTAAAATGGCTATTTTTGTAAAAAAAAAAATGCTGAAGTATGCAAAGCACAAAAAGTACCCATTCTAAGCAATTCACCAAAGCAGGGCTGTTTCCACAGTAGTAACCACCTCATTTCATAAAGTTAATTTTCTTTACTTGAACTGTGTCTGTGGTACAACAGATGACCAGTGACACTATGACAGACACACTCAGCACTGGCATGGCCCGTAAGGAAACAAAACAATCAACATACATTCTGCCCTACACCCAAAGAAAGCTCCACGGCCGAAATGTTGTTTTTTTCTTCTCTTTTCAACATGAAATAAACCTATTACTTGTTCCTTTGCTACACCCTATACCAACTGCCCTGCTCTTCATTCCTTTCAGGCTTACTTAATTATATTATACAAAATATTATTTTTTCATTTTTACTGTCTCCGTTATTACAAGGAAAGAATGGTATTTCTGATTTTACTGACAAAATTCCCTTGTAGATGATTTTGTCCATTAAATAATAATAATAATTAATAATTGCTTACACTTATATAGTGGTTTTCTGGACACTCCACTCAAAGCACTTTACAGGTAATGGGGACTCCCCTCCACCACCGATGTGCAGCCCCACCTGGATGATGCGACGGCAGCCATAGTGCGCCAG